GGTATGGACTGCTTTTGTCAAAAAATCTGCTAGGTTGTCCTTGGTGTGAATTTTCTGCATATCCACTGTTCCTTATTCCACTTTCTCACGAACGAAGTGATACTGAACTCGAATGTGCTTGGTCTTTGAATGAAAGGCTAGATTTCTTGCCAAATGCAAAGCACTCTGACTGTCACAAAATAGAGAAATCTTCTTTTATTCATAGTCGAGTTCCTCCAGTACCATCTTCAACCACATCGCTTCTCTGCTACATACTTTGCTTTTGTTGTTGAAGTAGCCACAACTGACTGCAGTTTTGAAACCCAGCTTACAGCTCCGCCAGCAAGTGCAAACACATAACCTGTGGTGGATTTGCTATTATCACGATCACCTGCATAATCAGAATTAACATATCCACTGACAATAAAATCAGATCCCCCATAACATAATACAACATTTGAGGTTCTTTGAATGTATCTTAGAACCCTCTTTACAGCATTCCAATGCTCTTTACCAGGATTCGCCATGTATCGACTAACCACTCCCACTGCTTGTGCAATGTATGGCCTTGTACAAATCATCGCGAACATTAAGCTTCCCACTGCTGATGCGTACGGTACTCGAGACATCTCCATCCTCTCTTCTTCACTGCTAGGACTCATACTGGAGGATAACTTGAAATTAACAGGAAGTGTGGTAGAAATTGACTTACAATCTTGCATGTTAAAGCGTCGCAAGATTTTCTTCAAATAGTTCTTCTGAGAAAGCCAAATCTTCCTATTAATTCTGTCTCGGTAAATTTGCATCCCTAGAATCTTGTTTGCAGATCCTAAATCCTTCATTTCAAATTCCCTAGCCAACTGAGCCTTTAATTCTTGGATACGATCTTTGTTGGGGCCTGCAACCAACATGTCGTCAACATACAACAATAAGATAACAAAGTTATTTTCACCAAACCTCTTGAAATATGCACAAGAGTCTGAATTAAGTCTGTTGTATCCAATGCTCATGATGAATGAATCAAATCTCTTGTACCAACACCTCGGCGCCTGCTTTAGACCGTACAGAGATTTGTTCAATCTGCAAACCAAGTTCTCTTTTCCTTTTTCTTCAAAACCTTCTGGTTGGAGCATGTAAATTTCTTCTTCAAGATCTCCATGAAGAAATGCTGTTTTCACATCTAGCTGCTCTAGATGTAGGTCAAATATAGCGCTCATAGCCAGGACAATTCGGACTGTTGTTAGTCGAACTACAGGAGAAAATATTTCATTAAAATCAATACCTTCTTTCTGAGCATATCCTTTTACCACCAATCTAGCACGATATCGCTCCACCTGATCATTGTCGTTTCGCTTGATCTTGTAGACCCATTTGTTTCCAATGGTCTTTCTTCCTTGTGGCAGTGACACAAGTTCCTAAGTCTTGTTCTTATGGAGAGCTTCAATTTCTTCTTGCATTGCTACCATCCACAAAGATGCATCTGTGTCATTTATAGCTTCATGAAAAGTTGATGGCTCTCCATCTTCTGTTAGAAGACAGTATGCAACATTACTCTCCGTAATATACTCCGAGTGCCAAGTCGGTGGTCTTCTCTCACGAGTTGACCTTCGAACTTCTGGAGCCTCGGCCTCGACTGGTTCTTGTACATCATGCTCCGGTGTCGCTTCAGAAGAATTCGGATTATCTTCTACCTGAACAGCTACAGTCTCTGAGTCCTTCCTCGAACTGCTTTCTTTCTCTTTACTTTGTAGTTGGTTCTCTACAAAGATAACATCTCTGCTGATGATAACCTTGCGGGTAGTGGGATCCCACAGGCGATACCCCTTTACTCCATCAGCATACCCCAAGAATATGCATTTTCTGGATTTTGAATCCAGCTTTGTAATTTCTTGGGCATTGTACATTACGTACACTGGACATCCAAATATATGGAGGTTGGAATAATCAACTGGCTTGCCAGTCCATATCTCCATTGGTGTCTTCAATTGTATTGCAGTTGATGGAGATCGATTCACCACATAACAAGCGATTTTTACTGCTTTCGCCCAAAAGACTTTTTCCAGATTTGCAGTAGCCAACATAGCTCTTGTTCTTTCCAACAGAGTTCTGTTCATCCGCTCCGCCACTCCATTTTGTTGTGGAGTATAAGCCGTACTGAATTGTCTTTTGATGCATTCTTGCTTGCAGAATGCTAGGAATTCACCGTCTGTGTATTCTCCTCCACTATCTGACCTCAAGCATTTGATCTTCTTCTCAGATTCAAGCTCGACCCGCGCTTTGTAGGCTTTAAAGACTGAGAACACATCCGCCTTCTTCTTGATAGGATACACCCAACATCTCCTGGAGTAATCATCAATAAAGGACACAAAGTACTTTGCTCCTCCTAAGGATGTAACTGGTGCTTGCCATACATCAGAATGAACCAGTTCCAGAATAGCCTTGCTTCTAGAACTCGATGTGTTGAACTTCAGTCGATGTTGCTTGCTTGTAACACAATGCTCGCAGAATGGAAGAGCTACCGAATTAAGTCCAGGAAGCAGTTTCTGATCGGAGAGAACCTTCAAGCCTCGTTCTGACATGTGGCCTAGCTTGCGATGCCACATCATGGTTTGTTCTTCTCCACGGCTGGTTGATGCCACACATGAATCAGCTTCCTGCAGAGTTTCTCCCTTGAGCATGTACAGATTTGCAGCTATCTTTTCTCCTTTTATCACCACAAGCGCCTCTCTAACAATCTTCATGATCCCATTTTCGATATGAGTTTTGCATCCGAGCTTATCTAATTGTCCCAAAGATAATAGATTCTTCTTCAAGCCCTTCACATGTCGCACGTCTTGAATGGTGCGTATTGTACCATCAAACATTTTGATTTTGATAGTACCAATACCACAAATCTCCAAGGCATGATCATTCCCCATGAATACAGATCCTCCTGAGATAGGTTCATATTTGTGAAACCAATCTCTCCGAGAGGTCATGTGCCAAGAGGCTGCTGAATCTAGAAGCCAGACATCAACAAACTTCTTTTTGCCTTCATCAACAGTGGTTGCTCCCCTGAATAGAATTTCACCATCCTCTGACGTGCTGACAACGCATCCTTGAGATGTTGATGGCTCTGAAGACTTTTTATCTCCACTCTTCTTGTTGTGCCAACACTCCGATTTGACGTGCCCTCTTTTGCCACAGTTGTAGCATTTGACATTCTTCTTACTTCTTGATTTGGATCTACCATGGGTATGACTCCCACTGGAGCCACGTTCTGTTGATCTTCCTCTCGTCACCGACAAGGCCTCCGCTTGCTGCGAACTTGTCTGCATGTCTTCCTTGTTCTTGCGCCGATTTTCTTCCTCCAGAACAGCGGCTGCAACATCATCTAAGACTAGATTGTTCGTGATGACGTTGTTCGTCAGGTTGATGATGAGTTGATCATACGAGTCAGGTAGACTCTGAAGTAGAAGTTCTGCACGTTCATTCGCACCAACTGTATATCCCAACGTTGTGAGTTGGGAGAACAGTGTGTTTAGGGTGTTGATGTGGTCGGTCATCGATGTAGATTCCGCCATCCTCAGAGTGTAAAGTCTCCTTTTTAAGAAGATTTTATTGTGCATGGATTTCGCCTCATATATCGCTTTGTTAGAATATCCCAGATCTCCTTTGTTGTCTTTTTCTCCTCTATGCTTGACAGCACCCCGTCTGCTAATGCCAGATGGAGATTTGCAATAGCATTTTCATCCATCTCGTTCCACTTCTTATCATCTGTGATGTCGTCCGGCCTTGCACCAATGGCCGCCAGGCAATTATCTTTTCTCAAGATAGCATTTATCTTCAACTTCCACAGTGAGAAATTACTCCCGTCGAATTTCTCGATCTTGAACTTCGCCGCCATTGCTTCTACCACGAACAGTAACTTCTTACTATTTCACGTAAATAGTACTATATTTATGAACAGTAATCATATCCGTGAATAATACCGTACTTATGAATAGTACCGTATTTGTGAACAGTGTCGTACTCATGAATAGTACCCGTCACCTCCAAAGGGTAAGTGATAACCTAACTTATTTTCTGATGTGGAGGATCCACCTTTGGTGGCAGCCACAGAGCATACGATAAGTAGATATATACAAGTACCCTAAGTTGGCTCTGATACCAATTGTTGGAACAAATCCGGGGCCTAATAGAGTAGGATCGCCACAGATTTACGTGGTTCGGCACTTGATTGCCTACGTCCACGGGCAAGGATAGAAGAATTCACTATGAGGAGAAAACTCTGGAGTTACAAACTCTCTCTCTTTACAAGGAGAAACTCTCTCTATTTTTTCTCTCTCACTCTTCTTATATAAGAAGTTGTTTCTCGGATGAGATTTCCTTAAGGATTTGGAACCCTATTTATAGTTTTTTAAAAAATACTATGCACAATAAAATATTAATATTTTACTGTAGCAGTGGGCCCCACCATTTGTTTTCTTTTTCCTTTTCAACATTGGCTGCTGGATGTGAAGGGTTTTTTCGGTGCTTGGCTTCATTCAGAGCGAAAACAAAACAAAAATAAAATAGCACCTCATGTTTTGCGTAGTTAAACAAACTAATTATTTAGTGCATCATGTTGCCTGAGCGAAAACAAAACGAAAATAAAGGAAAGCAAAGTCTCATGTTAGTATGCATGTAATTAATATTTCCGGACATATGCATGTTTTTATCTCCAGAAAGAATAATGAATGTTCCAATGCGCATATTATCAAAGCATTATAGCGATAAGAAGTTAGTAAGTTATAACTCCCATAAAACATTGTCAACGTTACATGTTTCGTTAAAAAAATTAATAAAAAAAGGGTTAAAGGGTGAATATCCCCATTAAGCCATCTACACTACCAAGATTTGCAAAAATATGTTTACTTGTCTTTGACCATTTATTTCTTTTGTATATTAAAAGAAAGGAAAGGTATAAGGACTGATGCGTGTTCTTTCTTCTTATTTTCCAAAATGGCAATACATCAAACGCATGCAAAAGCTGTTCCATATCAATAACAAATAAACATCACATTCAAAATTTACATATATTCAATAAAAAGGAGCTATATATGCCCCTCCATATTAAACGACGGATTCCAATGTTTTCAAAATCTGTATACATTCTCAATAACTGATTCATATAAGCTCCTACATAATCAATACCTTTGGTATTTCAATTGAACCAGGTTTGAAGATGGTATCATTCCACGGGTACCCATTTGCTATTCCTGTTAAAAATGGTTGCAGACCTGCGTCGATACGAACAGCAGCGATTAGCGATTCCAAGAAGCATTACCAGTTTCTCAATTAATACATTTCCCATGAATTCAACACATAATATTTTTTTAACTATCAACACGACTTAGCCTTGGTTAACCTTAAGAGAAGAGTGAGAAGTTTGATTGCTCCGAGGAAAAGTATCTGACTTGCTTCAGCTTATTGATTAACTTGAAGATTTCCAACAATCTAAATGATGGCTCTTGCGTACCTGTATAAGACACTATTCCTGTTCTGTTTTATTTGCCGGGACTAAGAATGGTTCAAATGTTAGGAGGAATCCAATTGCCTCTATCACGTTCACGATGAAAAAGACCATTTGATCGCCTGCATATTGATAAGCATTGCCTCAGTTTGAACAAGATGAATCATGAAACAGAAATATCTCCACACCAGGCCACCAATGGCGAGAATTTACAAATATGAGATATTAATCTTCTATTATGTGCATAAATTAAACAAATTGCTTGCCAAGACCAAATAATATGAGAATGTAAATCCCCACATCTTAAAACAAGGTGAGACTAATTAGTATAAAAACATCAGGTCATTTGACTGTAAGCCTGTAGCATGTACATGTATGCACATGGGGGTTGCTATCAGCGGGAACAGAATCCTGTTAATAGATAGTAAGCAAAATATCCCTCTTGGCATCATAAAAGAACCACTATTGTGTAGTTATTTTTACAAAAACGATTAACTTAAAAAGACAAAAGACAGATGAATCCAATGGTATTAGTCACAGCTATATCATGAATTTGGACGGTCCCTCTAGAGATTTAAGGCATAAGATACATGAGATTTAGGAATCTGAATAACAACACACATGTCAACATATGTCAATAGCAAGAGCTTTAACCATCTAAAAGAAAAGTTACAGATGAAAGATAATTTCATATAGTCGTTTGCTTAATTGAGATTGCTTAATTGAGATTGTCAATAGAACGAAAGGGAAACTCTATAACAAAAGAGTAATCTTGGAGCTCACTATAGGAAAACTGTTGTACAACATGATTTTGAACATGAGAATCAAAACTCAGTTTTTTATACCTCCTCTTACACATGAAGCATGTGAAAAATGAATTCACATGATAAATATGCATTGCCTTAAAGTCAATGTTTTCCCACCACCCCCCTTCTTCTATAAGCAGCCTTCAACTCATTGATTGAAAGACAGACTAAGAGCAACAAGTAAGGCAGAAATAACAACTTAATCAAAGAGAAATTGAGCTGTAGAGAGAGAGGGAGGGGGAGGGAGGGGGGGGAGATAAATATTGAGTCTCTCTTTAAGTGTGATTCTCTAGTGAGTTTTGAGTGAGATTAGAGCATAGGAGTCGGGAACATGGGACGCTATCGCAAACTGTGACGCGGGTTCAATCGTCCCAGATTCTTGAGGAACACGACCCGATTCACCAACTCCCGCGACCAAATTTAGAATTCAAAACAGTTAGTTTTTTTTTAAAAAAGTAACTCTTTTTTAAAATAATAAACAACAAATTAATGTGAGAATTTAAGAAAATAAAGTATGCATACCATAATTACAACATGATTCTCAATGTTCTTTACCATTACTGATATCAACTAGCATATTTTTTAAATTTGACTCCTGCAAAACCTTTGATTCCTAAATTTAAGAACCGAATCTAAAGTGTATGACATTCCCTGGAGCACCGCATAGGCCTACCCCCCTCGTACAATTACTAATGAGCGGCGTACCACGCTCCCATACCAGTCTCATGAACCCGAACGAACCGGGTTCCATACAACTATGGATTAGAGAGTGATCTCCTTGTTGTAATTTCTCTTTTGATTAGTAAAGTCCTCTGTTGTCTTTGTCCCTGGATGTAGGTTATATTGACCGAACAACGTTAAATCCTTGTGTGCTTTTTCTTTTTCTCTACTGTGTTTGTTCAGTGTTGTGTTATTCTCTACTTTGTATAGACATCCTCTATGTTGTACACTGTACAGCCCTTCGCTCTAACAAAAACAAATACTATAAAGGATCTCAAAAATGGTCTTTGTCTTGGTTCTCCTTTTTCGGTATCCTGAGTGATACTTTTAGCAGCTCCTCTATTCAAGTATCATGTGAGTAAATGGCTTAACTATTTTAGAAAAAAAACTTTTTTTTAATTATCAATTTAGCAAAGAATCGACATGTTCTTTTATAGTTAACAAAAATTAGATAGATCTCGATGAAATTTTATGTAATAAAATAGTAAATCCAGAATAATTTCTAAATAGTATCAAATTTGAATAAATATTTAACATACATGAACAATTAAAAAACATTTAAAAATCGAGAACATTAAAGTTTCAAGCTGCTTTGATAGTGATAAAATATATGCATATTGAGTTATCAAAATAGAAAAGAAGGTGTGTTCTCTAATAGATTTGGTCCAAGTTAGTAATTAAGTTAGAACTAAACTATGGTTTAAACCAGATTAATAACTTAAATAAATCAATGTGCACTGTCTCTGATAGTAGATTAGACCAGGTATAGTGTGCGACTATAACTGAACTAACAATATTAATTCAACAAACCACCTGGTTCTCTTCTGATGGATTGGATTTTCCAGTGGTTCTTAAGAATCAAATAGGGGTTTTCATCATTTGACAGCTAGGATGCTCATGTTTGAAACAATTGGTGGTTAAATGCTTATTCTTTCTTCTGTGACTAATTTCCTATTTTCTTCTGTTTTCCCCAAGAAAACTTCAGAAACTGTTGGTATGTCAAACCCGAAATCTTCCCTAGTACTTTCTCTGTCAGCCAGTTGGCTGGCATCAGGCAACAACAAGGGAAACCAAAAGGTCTCCATTAATCCTAATTGTTTTCACCCAAAACTGATGTGGTCTTATTGGATTGGCATGTTACAAGTTAAATCTGACGTATGGGTATCAGACAATTATTCAATCATTGCAGAACAGTTAAGATTAAGTAAAATATGTAAATTGATAGTTCTTTGTTTTACTTTATGGTCCATCATTTGCTCAGATATTTTAAAAGTTCAATTGTCGCATGTGTTCAACCCACCTAAAATAGACATACATCATACATAAACTGAAAAAGGTACAGGATCTAATAGGTGTCACTATAAATGAATCTCTATGTATATGCTGAATGTATGGAGTTGAGCTTCAGACTAGATCCTCAAACAAAAAAAACTCTTAACAAGAAATTTGCATGACCCAGTTGAAGATAAGACTCTCCCGGGTAATTTTCTGAATAAGTGAATGGTCATTTGTATGTATCATGAATATCCTAACATTTTTTAAACCAAAATGACATGATATGTTGCTAAACTCTACATTGATGGATAGAATAAGTCTTTCCAACCAGTTGTAAGCATGGCTGAGTGGATGTAAAACCCAGAATGCCAGTTAATACATGGAAGTTACGCATATGATTATGCAGGTTAAGCTCATATGACAAAATCACCCATCAGCCCTCCAGACTTTTTCTATGCTAGATGAGGGTCCAATATAAAGAGGGAATTTCAATGGTCTGAATGAAGATCTGCAATCCACTTGAATATGGTACTAAAAAACAAGCTCATTCCTTTGTTTGGTTTGACAGTAGACTAACAGAAGCAGATAATAGGCGGGTTTTTCATACGATTCTGATATTTGACCATCAACTGAAGGTTGTTAATTCAACAAACAGAACATTCATATTATTATATTTTCTTCAACTATGACATTGACAACCACCAATAACTCAAAGGGACAACAACTTCTAAATAAGATACCTGGAAGAAATGAAGCTTTTTGGCGTTTTTGTGCCCAAGAGAATCTGCAAATAGTAAGTGATGTTATAAATCGGATATACAAGAAAGATCACAAGTAGTGCAATCCATATGCAGCGTTATGGATATGTTACTTCATGATAAATGAATAAACAAGATGGTTTGAGCTTTTAACAATGTGAATTTCTTATATCTTGAAATGATGAATAACCTTTCCTCAAGAGGATACTGAAACCTTTAAATTGCATTTAATTTGGAATTTTGTGGGAAGCTTCTAAATATCTTTAGATCTGTGAAAAACAGGTAGTTTTTAACTTTCTTATACACTACCCTTGCAGTCTGACTGGTTTTTAACCAGGATGTAATAAACCGGTGATGTCCTTGCATTTTATTTATTCTCCTATGCCTAGAATAAATTTCAGAAGGGATAGGGTTTATTTAGTTTGCATGAAGATGGAAAACTTCAACTGTAGGTTGTCACAGACTCACAGTAGTTTCACTTGCAAAATGTATTCAATAAGTGTATGTTTTCCCCCCATAGTAGAAGCCCTTGAACTATTCTGGGGTCGGAGGATGTGATCCGAATAAACAAGTCACTAGCCTGATAGCATAGTCACCTTTCTGTTAGATTGCTACGCAATATTAACTTTATTATTGTTACTTTAGAAAAACAATACAAAAAACAGGGAAATATATTGCGAGACCAAGAATACCTAGAGGGCGATTTCTTTTTGCTAGCCATATATATTAATATAAAAGTGGAAGATCTGTGCACAACTGGTCTTGTATATAGTGCATTAACTTTTAGCAAGACTAAGAAAAGATACTCACATAGCTCCGGCACATGCCGGAGCAACAGCTTTAAAAAGGGACTGCCCTGTCACTGAAATGCCATTTGCAGCTCCTCTCTGGTGCTGAGGCTGATGATGAAATATAATCATTAGTCTCGTCAAATAGTTTCTTAGGCATGTCAGAATGGAATAAACATTCATGAAATACAACTAAATGTATTTAAAGAAGTAAGAAAGCACCACAGCATTGTTCTGCAAAATGAACATCCCAGTGATGACAATTAACTGATTGTAGAAAAGAAGCTCAAGTAAGAAACAAGATCAGTCACAAAAAGTTCACTCTCACACAAAATTCCATTGTGGGGTAATTGATGTTTGGCACAAATTACAATCAAATAGAAATGCAGAATTTAGAGCAATCAATCTGTAACTGTAACCCTACAGCTAAGAAGTTTCATGCAAATAATATTTGCAAATACAACTGATGATGGCTGACCATGACCAAAGATGTTGCACTCGTAGCTTATTAAGAGAGCTAAGAAGAATTTTCTACCAAAACATTATCTGGGATCTCTCTATTATTATATTTTTTTTCTAATACATTTCACCTAACTTGTACCGGCCACAAAATATTGTCAATGCTACATATTTCAGACATATCTTTCTTAAGTATGTAATTCCAGCACAGATTGATGCAATTACTTTTAACATCCATCTTACCATATTTCTGACTGTTATTGTTATAACATAAATATCATCCTCTGATATCAATGTTACATTCAGACATAGTCCAGTATATGTTGTAATCTACCATCACAAGGGCTTTTTTAGAAATAAAATTCTGAAACTAGGCATGACAGATAAGGAATCAATAATGTGACCCAATTTATGTCAAAACAAAGACATGTATTTATTCTAAAAACTTCCAACAGATTAATTTGGAACACAAGCTAGATATCACTCGATATCAAGCATTTTCATATTAACTGAATTATACTCACAGAAAGAATGTTCTTCAGTACCGATGTACAGTTCACTACCAATGAAAGTTTAAACCCTGATAGCCTGGACATAAACGGGTAGGCGGCACCTAATGGTATAGTTATAACCTGCATATCATAATTTCAAAGCATCATGGTAGGATTTTATTTCAGTAGAAACACCCAACAAAAAAATTAAGATGATAATGATGCACACCGCTGCAACACGAGCTGAAATGATGGGTCCAAGGAGCTTTGAAATCCAGATATAAAGAAATAGTTGAAATACCAGAAGACTACAGCCTATGCAATGAGTACATACGTAGTTAATCAATGAAATTTGGAAATTATAGGTGCAATAATCAATTGCCGACAACAATACATAAGTAGTCATGCTCTGATTTATATCAACTAGAAGCAGGCCTTCTGAACTGGTTACCGTCACCTCGTAGTGTTAGGACATCAGAAGTGTCCCTTAATTAGCACAACTGGACTGTGATTTATCATAAGTCGGGTGTGTGCCCATGTAAATAATACATTCCTCGCAATTGTTATATGAAATATGAACATGAAAAGTATCGATGCAGCCAGTTCTCATAGTTGGTACTTTTAGGCTTTATAATTTTCTAAAAACTAATAGAATTATGTTTACACTAATGAATAGCTTTACCTTTACTTCTACATTTATATCACATGAATTATTTGCCGGTTGCATAAGGTATCGATTAAGAACCTTGTGCATGCAAGCAAAAATTGAGTGCTGAAGAGGGACATCTTAGAAGCCCATGAAAGTTTTGAAATATGATAAATGGAGCAATTGAGGCACCTGGAAGATTGAATACACAACCAAGGTTTGTGCTAAATCAGAGGTGTAGATATCAGATGCAAGTAGCACCCCAGCCCCTGCATCTTCCCCAAAGATGAATTATTGGATGATGATAACTTTGTCAAAAGTTGCTCCTCAAACAATAACAGTGATCATGACGTAGTATTTAATTAGGCACATTAATCCTTTGTTGCATAAGATATAACATAAAAGGATCTATTTATCACACCATAAACTTTCAGTGGATAATTTGAAGCAAAAATATAGGAGAAAACAAGAGAATGTTTCCACATTATGAACTAGACCAAATAACTGGAGTACCTGTGACTGCAAGAACCTCACCAACATCCTGCGAAGAAAAGCTTAATCCTCCATAAAGTTTATCACTCACTGCCCATATGGAGAAAATCTGATGAAAAAATATTTGAGCAGAAATTAAGTAATTTGAAACTACATAGATCAACAAGATTGCCATAGTAAAATTATCACTGAACTATAAAGAACCATAAAGCACATTTAAGACTTTTACTAGTCTTTAGATGCTCATATACTCTATGATAGCATTCATGGAGCTCTTAATTACATGGTTTAATTGCTGGCATAAAAAGAAATTCGTCAAATGGCTGGTGAAGGTCTCCAGGCTCAACTTCTACAGCATAATATACTGCTTTTGAAGAGTGCTTGAAATATCCCAGATTGCTTTACAGATGAGTGAATTCTTTACTTTCCTTCCTATCAATAAAACAGTGAGAAAGCTGATATCTTAGCATGCGAATGGCTAGATGTCTCAATGCCTTCTTAACATATATCAAACCTAATGGATCTTGACTCATGAGCACTGAAGCTGCAAGAAGTATCCAGCCTCCAGAATCATATAAGCGAGAAAGTATGCAGATAAGACTTCTAAAGCGTGTTATTTCCTATACTCAAAGGCAGAACACTCAAAAGAAGCATTCATTATAAGTAGGGCATAAAGATTGAAAGCATGCTTAAAGTCAAACGACCGTATGACCTTAATACCACAAGCAAATAATAATAAACATTACCTCGGTATATGCCATATCATGAAGTGAAAAGACACAGTAGACGATAATAGATGACATTAGTGGCCAGTTCTTGAAAAGGTTTTTCTTGGAAGCTGGGGTTCCATCGGTTTCTTCATCATGATCACTATGATTGTGTAATGTTTCCTGCGAATTCAATTTAAAAAATGTGATACCAAAATTAATAAAAAATCTGACTGTTTCTCCGCAAACAATGTTTGGAAATGCCAACATACTCTTGGCAAAAGAAACAAATGACAAGTTCAGTTTAAAAGAACATTCAAATGTGGATAATAAAAGAACAAATCCAACAACTTAAGACAGAAATACATGGATACCTCACGTTTTAACTTGTAAGCAAAACAGCTGAAACAACTTGCATAACAATGTTTTTAAGTTTTTTCCATGATTATTAATGATTGATTGAGATTTTTCTTTTCTGGGTGATTTGGGAGGTGATATATGATTTCTAGTTAATGGAATGCCAGCAAGAAAAGCCTTGCCAATAGAAGCCTCCAATGATGAAGATGAATGCGTACTAGATAAACACGGTCTATCTGAGATAAACTGCAGCTTGACTTTCAAGATCCTTTGAGGAGAACCTATATTGTGTTCAGTGTCATCTACAAGTGTATCAATTTCACAATTACCATATGGACAGTTCCATGCATGTCCAGATGGCGTTGTGATCTTTGGACCTAAAGTTTTAAGTCAGAACATGTCAACTGTTCGATTTGTAAAGTTTGTAATGTGGATGCAACATATGATCTCTATCTCTTTGACTGTTCCCTTGATCATGGTTCCTCTGTTCAGTTCACCCATTTTTTAAATGTATCAGAATTCTCTATTTTTGTCTGCCAATCCTATGAATTTGAACTGAATCAGGTGTGCCATTACACGTTGAGAAAGCTGCTTGAGAATTTTAGTTGACCGTGATTGCTAAGCAATAATAGTTTGCATTACAACAAAAGTTGTATAATATGTCTACATAAAAGTGTCATTTTATTTACAAAGAATTAAACAATAGTGACACAAATAAAAAGTGTGGCAAATTATGACACATATTTATGTCATTAAATATACAATTAAATATAAGTGAAAAGGGCTAATAGGTCAACATGGATTGTGAGAGGATATATTGATGTTGATGATTAGATACTTATGATTAGTGTATAAGCTAAAAAAAACTCTATTGTTAAGCGTGCTTTGATGAGAGTAATTCTAAAATGGTTGACCTTCTGGGAAGTTATAGTGTTAAATGGTTATACTCTTTATATTTTTATGGTCTAAACACACTTATGTGTCACCACTCTTGACACATGTATGTGTCACCATTATTGACACATGTATGTGTCAAGAGTTTTGTGACACATGTATCTATCACCACTTTCGACATATATGTGTCGTGAGTTTTGCGATACATTCGCATATATGTAGAAAAACGCCCTCCGCGCATGCTCTAACCACACTTTTGATATGTCTCACACTCTATTTGTGGGACACAAAAATGTGTCATGTAGAGACAAAAAATGTAGCATAATTTATAACTTTTGTTATAGTCTCTACCATCTCATATTATCCATCTCCAATCCTCCCTTAATTATATCAGCACTGGTTGTCATCTAACTGTGACTAGAACAGAGATTCTGCAGTTACTCTGATGTCTTTCAGAGATCAGTCTTTGCTCACTGAGCATTCTGTGACCGTAGTATCAATGCTAATTCTAGGTCAATAAATTATCTCACCATTCTAATTATGCAGTTTTCCGGAAGAAAATGCCCACATCCTACCTTGAAAACCCTTTATTTTTGGCTTTCCCTAGCCCTAACAGTAAATTAATCTAGAACCGTAGATAACAAAAGCAAAAAGGTTCTTAAGCATATAATAAATATAATGTGTTTCTAAAGCATTGACACACTTTTAATGTTTGTCAAACCATTTCTCTCTATATTTGTCAAGAGAATGAACGGATACTATTATGAGAAAGGAATTCTGAGAATATTTCCCTTCCTTCTCTTCATTTCGCATCATTTCCTACTATTGTTTCAATGATCTTACTTCTTGGGTTGTTCTCTCTTCTTTGCTTCTCTGTAGTATTAGTTTTGGATACCCCAAACCTTAACTAAACTTAAGAACTGACTTGGGGACGATAGACCCTTAACTCTCCTCATAGAATATTTACCCTGCAAGTCAAAATCCTCAACAAAATTGGCATGCTACCATATTGTAATTCAGTTACATAAAGTTATGCAATGTGTCAGATTTGGAAATCTCTAGAAACATGAATTACACGAAAGTAAATTTGCATGCTTATAAAGATTCCTTATAGACATTAAAAATAACACAAAAAGAAGACAATACAAAAGTTAGTATAACTTACCGCAAGCCAGAAGCAACTTATAAATGCACCAACTGCAAAGAGTGATATACAAAAGCAGGGTAAGAAGTATGGAAACCTACAAAAGATGTTGGTTACAAGGGCATGCATAAGAATACATAATTAGGTAAGAGAATGAACAAAGCATACTTATAGCCATACCTCCCAAAAAAGGACTCCTTGGAGAATATCTTTGGGTATTTCTCTGCAGGCTAAACACAACAACAATAAAATAATAAGTTAATCGTGTGATAATCTTCTGTAGGAAGTTAAAGTATATATGATTCAGAATGTCTTATCTACACACTAAAAGCATTCAATATAATTGGTTTACTCCTGTGTTACAAACTGCCACTATTGATGGAAAAGTAGAGGACGAAATATAATTTAAAGCTGATAAGACAATTCTAGTGTGCCTAAACTTTTGGTATGTTGGACACTTCATAACAAGATAACAAATAACTGTGATCCTGCCTGGCTTACGGATACAGCAATACATCTACCAGCGTGCAGATGCATACAAGCATACAGGTGCAAGCACATTTTCACCTATCCATAATAGCCTAGTACTATACGGACTCGTACATTTAAAAGAAACAGATTCAACTTAGCAGTATTAAAACTTATCCATTTTCCATGCCTGGTATAACCAAAATTAACTCGTGATGTCCTAACTAAGATGCTTAATCGGGTTGCACCCAACTGCTTCACATCTATCCAAAACTCTAGCAATATAGTAAGAAAGATAACTGTTTCCCCTTTTATACTATCTGACAGCACTCAAGGCCTTTTCGTCTATAGGCAGGGTTGGTGCAGCATGGTATTTTGGAGTTTTAGATGCAAAAACCAGAGAATATGATACTAAAGAAAATCTAACATTCCCAGAATGTTCTTGAGCTTATCCCAAATACGGGAATCCTCATACCAAACACAGCACAACCTAAAAGAATTCAGGAAAAATTCTCTAAAGAGTATGACTCCTATGGTATAACAAGCATCTGAGCTACATGTCACATGATGGTGGGTTTATACAACAATGCATATTTACTCTGTCACAACTGTTCTAGAGTTACAATACCTGTGCGAAGAAGCCTCCAATAGCTGGACCAATTACCAAACCTATTCCCCAGGCTGTGCTAACCTGAATTTAGATGATGAAAAAATATTCAACGTTAATGAAAAGAGAAGCAAGTAAAAGAGTTCAAGAGAAGTGGGGAAATATGAAACATGAAGAGGTTCTTACAAGCGACAGTCCAATAGGTTGGTGTTCAGCTCGGCAAACTTCTATAGCATAAGCCTAAACACAATCTAAAAAGTATCACAGGAGCAATGAAAAGCAAAGGCGTAGTTGTCAATGTTGAGACTGAATAGACAGGCTTCATCGAATACTAGAACAAACCTTTATTGGGCCAAGTAAACCATTCAAAGATCCAAGAAGCAACCTTGTAGCAATTGCCATCCAATAACTTGTACTTAACCCAAAGAGTGTGTTGAATATAATGCTGAAACGTTATTAAAATCAATTCAGCACTAAAATATAGAAACAAAGAAAAAAAACCAAACTTCCTTCTGTTACCAAATAAAAATACACAAATAAATTCAGCGAACCCTTTAAGTTGACTGCAAAACTGAGCAATCATAAAGTACTGACACTGAGATAATGCTGATCATAATGACAGGTTTTCTTCCATAGTGATCAGAGACCAAACCCCAAAGTACGGAAGTCAAAGCTCTCCCAAGCATAAATGCAGACCCTACAATAAGGAGAAGTTGAGTGCTATATAATGGTTTTAAGATATAATACATCATAGTAAGCATATCAAGCAAAACTTTTTGAAATAACCTATTATATTCCAAATTCTGAAACAGTATCAGACCTACCCACAAAACCTGCATAAAATCCAATATCTTCTTCTCTTTTGGCAATATGCAAGTCTTTTATCTGCATGAATAAAAAACGAATATAATTACTTCGATTTGGAGTTAAAACATATTCATAACTGATCTAAATAAGTTACCAGACATCATAGACCATTCAAAACAAGTAAACTCTATCTCTCTTTAAATTTTGGTTCATTTTGTAGTGTTCCTTCCCTCACCTCTCCTCCCCTCACTCTACCTCCCCTCTAAAACCCTCTACCAAAGGCAAATTTATTTTCTGTCCCTCCCCTCACCTTCCCTACTACCAAACCAAGCCGAAGTTTTTATTCATGGAAGTAGACATATAGCTTACTCTTCTAAACATTTATCACATAGAGAGACTTGTTACATATCAAACAATTGATAATATCCACATTTTATGAGTAGATAGAAACCTTATGTACCCACCTCGCCCCCACCCACGCCACCACTACAACCACTCCCAAAAACCCACTCGTCCTCCTCTCCGCAGCCCCCCTCCCGCATCTGTCAGAGCTCTGTCGTAATTTTTGAATGGAGTGGGCCCCACCATTTGCTAATGTCAAAGAATACGGAATTCAGTGCCGAAAGAAGCCGGGAATTTTGAAAAAAAAATTAAAGATGCACAGTGAAGTTGTACAATGTAATATTAATATTTTATTATGCATAGTGTTCTTCTAAACACTATAAATACGCTCTAAATCCTTAAGGAAAAACTCATCCCAGAAACAACTCCTATGTAAAAGAGTGAGAGAGAAAAAATAGAGAGAGTATCTCCTTGTAAAGAGAGATTGTAACTCCAGAGTTTTCTTCTCATAGTGGATTCTTCTATCATTGCCCGTAGACGTAGGTAATTTTATGTCGAACTACGTAAATCTATGTCCATCTTTTTTATCTCTATTTTTCACTACTATTGCTGCGATCCTGCTCTATTGGGCCCCAGGTTTGCCCAACAAGTGGTATCAGAGCCAACTTAGGGTGCTTGTATATATCTACTTATCGTATGCTTTGTGGCTACCACCAAAGGTGGATCCTCCATATCAAAAAATAAATTAGATTATCATTTACCCTTTGAAGGTGACGAATACTATTCACGAGTACGGTACAGTTCATAAATACGGTACTATTCACGGGTAAGGTTATTGTTCATAAATACAGTTACTATTTACGTGAAATAGTAAGAAAAGTTATTGTTCATGGAGTTAAAACATATTCATAACTGATCTAAATAAGTTACCAGACATCATAGACCATTCAAAACAAGTAAACTCTATCTCTCTTTAAATTTTGGTTCATTTTGTAGTGTTCCTTCCCTCACCTCTCCTCCCCTCACTCTACCTCCCCTCTAAAACCCTCTACCAAAGGCAAATTTATTTTCTGTCCCTCCCCTCACCTTCCCTACTACCAAACCAAGCCGAAGTTTTTATTCATGGAAGTAGACATATAGCTTACTCTTCTAAACATTTATCACATAGAGAGACTTGTTACATATCAAACAATTGATAATATCCACATTTTATGAGTAGATAGAAACCTTATGTACCCACCTCGCCCCCACCCACGCCACCACTACAACCACTCCCAAAAACCCACTCGTCCTCCTCTCCGCAGCCCCCCTCCCGCATCTGTCAGAGCTCTGTCGTAATTTTTGAATGGAGTGGGCCCCACCATTTGCTAATGTCAAAGAATACGGAATTCAGTGCCGAAAGAAGCCGGGAATTTTGAAAAAAAAATTAAAGATGCACAGTGAAGTTGTACAATGTAATATTAATATTTTATTATGCATAGTGTTCTTCTAAACACTATAAATACGCTCTAAATCCTTAAGGAAAAACTCATCCCAGAAACAACTCCTATGTAAAAGAGTGAGAGAGAAAAAATAGAGAGAGTATCTCCTTGTAAAGAGAGATTGTAACTCCAGAGTTTTCTTCTCATAGTGGATTCTTCTATCATTGCCCGTAGACGTAGGTAATTTTATGTCGAACTACGTAAATCTATGTCCATCTTTTTTATCTCTATTTTTCACTACTATTGCTGCGATCCTGCTCTATTGGGCCCCAGGTTTGCCCAACAAGTGGTATCAGAGCCAACTTAGGGTGCTTGTATATATCTACTTATCGTATGCTTTGTGGCTACCACCAAAGGTGGATCCTCCATATCAAAAAATAAATTAGATTATCATTTACCCTTTGAAGGTGACGAATACTATTCACGAGTACGGTACAGTTCATAAATACGGTACTATTCACGGGTAAGGTTATTGTTCATAAATACAGTTACTATTTACGTGAAATAGTAAGAAAAGTTATTGTTCATAGTAGAAGTAATGGCGGTAAAGTTCAAGATCGAGAAATTCGACGGGAGTAATTCCTCTCTGTGGAAGTTAAAGATAAAGGCTATCTTGAGAAAAGATAATTGTCTAGCGACCATCAGTGTAAGGCCGGCCAACATCACAGATGATAAAAAGTGGAATGAAATGGACGAAAATGCTATTGCAATTCTTCATCTGGCATTAGCAGACGGAGTGCTGTCAAGCATAGAGGAGGAGAAGACAGCAAAGAAGATCTGGGATACTCTAACAAAGCTATATGAGGCGAAATCCCTGCATAATAAAATCTTCTTAAAAAGAAGACTTTACACTCTAAGGATGGCGAAATCTACATCGATGACCGACCACATCAAAATCCTAAACACACTATTCTCCCAACTCATAACGTTGGGGCATACAGTTGGTGTGAATGAACGTGCAGAACTTCTACTTCAGAGTCTACCTGACTCGTATGATCAACTCACATACAGTTGGTGTGAATGAACGTGCAGAACTTCTACTTCAGAGTCTACCTGACTCGTATGATCAACTCATCATCAACCTGACGTGCAGAACTTCTACTTCAGAGTCTACCTGACTCGTATGATCAACTCATCATCAACCTGACAAACAACGTTCTCACAGACAATCTAGTTTTCGATGATGTTGCAGTCGCTGTTCTGGAGGAAGAAAATCGACGCAAAAACAATGAAGACAGGCAGGCAAGTTCGTAACAAGTGGAGATCTTAACGGTGATGAGAGGAAGATCAACGTAACATAGCGTCAGTGGGAGTCATACCCATGGTAGATCCAAATCAAGAAGTAAGAAGAATATCAAACGCTACAACTGTGGCAAAAGAGGGCACGTCAAATCGGAGTGTTGACACAATAAGAAGAGTAGAGATAAAAAAGTCTTCAGAGTCATCAACATCTCAATGATGCGTTGTCAGCACATCAGACGATGGTGAAATTCTATTCGGTGGAGCAACCACTGTTGATGAAGACAGAAAAATATTTGCTGATGTTTGGCTTCTAGATTCAGCAGCCTCCTGATACATGACCTCCCGAAAAGAATGGTTCACAAATATGAACCTATCTCAGGAGGATCTGTATTCATAAAAAATGATCATGCCTTATAAATTTTTAGTATTGGCACTATCAAAATCAAAATGTTTGATGGTATAATACGCACTATTCAAGATGTGCGACATGTGAAGGGCCTGAAGAAGAATCTATTGTCTTTAGGATAATCAGAAGAGCTCGGGTGCAAGACTCATATAGAAAATATGATCATGAAGATTGTTAGAGTGGCGCTTGTTGTCATAAAAAGAGAAAAGATAGCTGCAAATCTGTACATGCTCAAGGGAAAGACTCTGCAGGAAGGTAATTTATGTGTGGCATCAACCAGCCATGGAGAAGAATAATAATGTGACATTGCAAACTAGGTCATATGTCAGAACAATGCTTGAAGATTCTCTCTGATCAGAAGCTACTTCTTGGACTTAATTCGGTAGCTCTTTCATTCTGCGAGCATTGTGTTACAAGTAAGCAGCATCGGCTGAAGTTCAACACATCGAGTTCTAGAAGCAAGGCTATTCTAGAACTGGTTCATTCTGATGTATGGCAAGCACCGATTACATCATTGGGAGGAGCAAAGTATTTTGTTCTTTATTAATGACTACTCCAGGAGATGTTGGGTGTATCCTATCAAGAAGAAGATGAATGTGTTCTCAGTCTTTAAAGCCTATAAAGCGCAGGTTGAACTTGAATCTGAGAAGAAGATCAAGTGTTTGAGGTCAGATAATAGAGGAGAATACACAGACGGTGAATTCCTAGCATTCTATAAGCAAGAATGCATCAAAAGACAATTCAATACTGCTTATACTCCTCAATAAAATGGAGTGACGGAGCGAATGAACAGAACTCTGTTAGAAAGAACAATAGCTATGTTGGAAACTGTAAATCTGGATAAAGTCTTTTGGACGAAAGCAGTAAAAACCGCATGTTATGTGGTAAATCGATCTTCATTAATTGCAATACAATTAAAGACGCCATTAAAGATGTGGACTGGTAAGCCAGTTGATTATTCTAACCTCCATATATTTGGAAGTCCAGTGTACGTAATGTACAATGCCCAATAAATTACAAAGTTAGACTCAAAATCTAGAAAATACATATTCTTTGGGTATGCTAATGGAGTAAAGGGATATCGCTTGTGGGACCTCATTGCCCGTAAGGTTATCATCAGCAGAGATATTATCTTTATAGAAAATCAATTACAAAGTAGTGAGTTCAATGAAGGACTCAAAGACTGTAGCTGTTCAGGTAGAAGATTATCCGAATTCTTCTGAAGCAATACCGGAGCATGATGTATAAGAACCAGTCGAGTCTGAGGCTCTAGAAGCTCGAAGGTCAACTTGTGAGAGAAGGCCACCGACTTGGCACTCGGAGTATATTACAAAGAGTAATGTTGTATACTGTCTTCTAACAGAAGATGGAGAGTCGTCAATTTTTAATGAAACTATAAATGGCACAGATGCATCTTTGTGGATAGCAGCAATGCAGGAAGAAATTGAAGCTCTTCATAAGAACAAGACTTGAGAATTTGTGTCACTACCATAAGAAAGAAAGACCATTAGAAACAAATGGGTCTACAAGATCAAGCGAAATGATGATGATCAAGTAAAACGATATCGTGCTAGATTGGTGGTAAAATGATATGCTCAGAAAGAATG